GCTAAGTGAATATACCTCTATGGGTAGTTTGCTAAGCAAAAAGGAAATTCATTAAGCGAATTGGTGATGGTTGGTTCACACTTGAAGCTTGAAATTGTGAGATTTTATTCATGGTTAGAATGATGGTTAAAGGTTATGCTTTCGAATTATTAAAATATGTTCAAACAAGGGAATGAATGGTATAACACCATTATGTGATTATTTCCCAAGAATGAATGTGAAGTTAGACAATGTACTGTTTGTATTGAGTAAGAGTACAAAGAATAAAGTCATTGTAATTCTACTAAACTCATAGATTAAAAGAGTTAGGTGGTAATGAAATGAAAGAAATTCCTATAACGGGATTTGGTGTGATAAATCTACATTTTTAGCTACAATATAATAACTACTTACTTTATAAAAATTTAATTTTGTTGACACAAATCTAAGTTGTTGTTTTAAGTGAATTAATGATGTATAGCAAAAACTTCAATCATATTTGCATGGTTTTGTAAGTTTGATACTAAAATTTTTATAACAAATTAAAAGTAATAATACTTTAATTGGAATTGTTACAATATTAATATTATAGTAGTGTATAAAATTTTATATTTTTTTTACTTAACCAAAATTGAATTTGTAACATCCCAAAAATACAGATAAACTATATGATAGAATGATTACATTTAATAATAATTCAGATCAGTCTTAAAATTAAAAAGGGCGCACAGTTCTGGCCGAACGTCCTTACATAAAGAGTTATAATTAAACTATACAGCAGTACAGGTCTGACCGAACGGTTTACAAAAGGAACTACCGAACGGTCAAATATAAATCAAAGAGAGGGTGATCGAACGACCACCTTACTACGAAAACTAAACTACTAACCGAGCATTCTATTGTTCGGTCTTAACTTCTACTTCTACCAAATTTTCTTCTTCCATCGCCTCTTTCAGCAGCTCGTCTCCTTCTGCTCACATCTACACGGATGATCATTGCAATGACAAGGACGAACGTATAAAACCAGACAACACAGGAAATATAGGGTAAGCTTATGTAATTTAATTCAAGTATACACATACATTTCGCATATTCAAACACATCAAATACATTTCAACATTGTTTCAACCAAGGCCCTATTACTAGACTGCTGTCCGGGACTGGTATGAATCTGTGTAGTGTAATAGCATAATTTACCCATGATTTAGTGTCCGAATTGAGAGAAAATATCAACTCTTTCTTAGCTTTTTTGCCTTGTAATCCTATTTTTCATTTAGTTTCTAAGTGGTTGCATCGTAAACTTTAATGATTTTCAATTTCAATCACTAATCCCCCATTTTTTAGTAAATGTTTTGGGTCATTTTACACCAATCTTGTATGCTAAACTGAAGAACTGAAGAACCGAAGAACCATATAAGCAAGAATGAAGGTAAAAGAGGAAGTTTTGAGAGAAAAGATAAATGCTGAAGCTGGGGTACGGCTGGCATGCAGCTAAGCGCCACCTGGCCAGACTTGCTGTAGCTGAGCGGTACAACTCTGTGCAGCTGAGCGCACCCGATCCGACTTGCTGCCGCTGAGCGGCACAGATTTTGTGCAGCTGAGCGCCAGCTCCTCTGGAATGCTGTCGCTGGGTGCCAGCTGGCTTGCAGCTGAGCCGCCAGCTCTCTGGAATGCTGCCGCTGGGGTGCAGCTGGGGTACAGCTAAGCGGTGGCAATGCTGATGTGGCAAATTTGGTCTATTTAGGGTTGAAACTCGAAGGGATTTGGATCTTTTGCTGCCCAAACACCGTTTCTTCATTTGGAGCTCTTGGAGGCGAGCTAGGAGCTGTGGGAACCGTCCTTCTTCACCCTTGGGTCTTCTTCCTTCTTCCATTTCCACTATTGTTGTAAGCTTAAGCTTTCCTTTCATGGAGGGCTAGTTTCATCGTTGTTGGGGGATTGATGTAACCACTGAAATCTTATGTAAACTACTATGTTTTGAATGAATATATGCATCTTTCATTGATTGTTAGTGTTTAAGTCCTTTTCTTAATGCTTGTTGTGAAGTTGTTACCCATTACATGATTTTAGGGTTTGCTTGATATTGGGAAATGTTGAGTAAATCTGACTTGGATTAAAACACCTAAAGGAAATAGTATCGAGGAAAGAAAAAAAAAATAAACAAAAAAAAAAAAGGGGCTATAATTAGGATTTTGGTTGTCTTAGATCTCAATTCTTAATGCGGAAATATTGTTAGGAGGTCTTCCACGGATTAGCCAATAGGAAGTCTAGGCTCCTCATACCAAGGGATTGGTTTTGAGTAATTTAGAGATTGGCATTGGCTTTAATGAAGAGGAAGTGATTTTCTATACATAAGCATGAAGTAGGTGAATCATACCCCCAACAATATCAGTCCTACATTTCTAATCTTTCCATTTCCAAGTGTTTTGAGTATCTAAGACACTTCTTTCATCAATTATGTTTCATGTTTACTTTAATTGCACAAAAACATAATTATGAGTTCTTTAGTCTAAGTTTAGTTGGAATTATACGATTGTTTTGGTGACACGAGCTCTTGGGAACGATATCCTGTCTTACCGGGTTTTTATTAACTTTAACGATTTGGTACAACTTGTCAAGTCTCGACATGTAAGCTACACATTCGTGCACCCTGTGATGTAGTCACTGGAATACTCTCCATCAGCTGCTCACCCAAGGTTAGTCCCCTATCTGTCCAAAGTACCCCTAAGGACTAGGACCTCCTACCGTTCCCACACATGACCTACCCTCCTCTACGTGAGGACGAGTACTCACGAAACATCAGGAGGAACCGCCAGCTAAGCATTACCACATTCATACTTTACAAATTCAGTAATCATCCATGAGTCGGTTCCTCCCCGGAACCTTTGTTCAAAATTCACAACATTTTCATCCAACTCTTGTACTCCTCATCTTTTATTATCCATCATTTTAATTTCATCTTTATCGCCAATTCCAAGAACATCCAATACCGAACGTTCAGTCCTCACTCAGAACAAGGATGAACACTAGGAACGAGACTGAGAAGTATCCCGTTCCAGAATAAAATAAGACCTAGAGGGTTACTTCTAGATTTAGGAATAAACCGAATACAATTATATAATATATGACGAACGTCATTTACAACCTGAATCAATTAAATGAACTGACTCTCGTGAGCTCAAACCAACACTCAAAGAATATATCAAGTACGGTGGCTCTAGCCGAAGACAATGAATGTAGACACGTCAACGTTAAATAACCATACTTAGAATAATTCACATATAGAAACCCAATGCTAGTCAATGACCGAACACGGTAAAAGGAAATTCTACTGAAGTTGGACGAACGCTATTTTATCAAGATTGATCAACTATAAACGAATATAGGCATTTGGTATAAGACCGAGCACCACTCATTACGAGTGCTTGGTGTGAGACCGAGCACTAATTAAACTTATAATAGAAACATTAATAACAATAAACATAATAAGATACGATGGAGATCGTGTTTAAGAATAACTAAATATACAAATACATATAGTTACATAATGAGTTTATCACTGAATACTCAAATGCAACTAACGCTGACCGAACGATCAACCATTATTATCACAAAAGAACCTCGTCCTCAACTAGATTCTTTCCAAATGAAAGAATCAATTTCAAACAAGATTACTAGAAACACGACGGTCAAGGACCGTTCAATGACGACCGTACATTATCATAGGAAAGTTCATATTCAAAATTCATTTACATTCATACTCATTTCTCAGCATATAACTTATAATTTCATACATTCATATCATAGCACATTTCATATTCCTCATCATCAGCTCATAATATTATCATATATCAAATAATCAATATCAAAAATCATGCTTCATGCAACTCAAAGAACGTCATGCAGGCCAGTAAAACATACAAAATTAAATTAAATAGATTTCCCTTACCTCTAATCGTGAACGATCGTCTTAGAGGCAGAAGTATGATTTGCCCCTGACTACAATTTCTTCTATCCTCAACGCTACCAACTCTTCTTCAAACTAAAACAAATAACAGAAACCGGATTGGTTCAGGCAAGATGACAGCATGCAACCAGAACTTGAGTTGCATGTTCTAGAGAACGGACGACTAAAGACAAGAAAACTTACCAGTTTCAAAACTCGAAACTGTTCGGTTCAATTTGAAGCTTGGGACGCTGAGAGTATTCGTACGGTGCCTGAACGGAGGATGAGTAAATAATTGGTGAGTTTTAGTAGAGAGAAGGAAGAACTTTTAGAGAGAAGGAGGAGAAATTGAGAAGTTCAGAGTATGGGAAGAAGGGTGCATACAGAAGAGAGTGAGACAGAAGTTTCAGAAAAATCATTTTCTTCCCACGTCAAAACGAGCGTCCGCTCTTCTACTGACACCTGCATCCCACTATCTGATTTCTGACCCTCGTTGCTTGACACCTGGCGTCCGTTCAGAGGAGTTTTGGGTGCGTTTTAATGATTATGATAAGAGCGGTTTTGGATGTGTTTAACGAGGTCTGACAGAAATTATGTTATTTTTTTTAAAATTTATTTATTTATACTTATGTTATCTTTTTGTAAGTCAAATTAAAATTAATATTAGCATATAAAATTAATTATTTCAAAATTATTGTTTATATATATTTTATTTTTAACGTCTTCTTTCAGAAAATTGAAAATAAGTAAAAAGTGAGTCTACTAAAATAAAATTTTGACTTGCTTTTTCCGCATTAAAAATTATAAAATTCATTTTTTTAGTAAAAACTCAACTTTAATAAATAGAAATCTAGTTTATACAATAAGGTATGAGGAGGTTTATTTGAAATTTTTTAATTGAATTTATTATGAAAAATAAATAAATTTTATACACAGCTATAGATATTAATAAAAATGAGTTTTTCTTAAAGAAAACCCTCCCCAGGATTTCTTGTCTGATAAGTTTGTCTAATTCATCTCATTAAGAAAAAGAAAACATATATAAATCTACAAAAATAAGGAAAAAAGTGTCTCCTAAGTTTTCGTGTGCAGAGGGCAATTCGAGTCTTCCTCTCTCTCACTCGCCCTTTTTCTCTCTCTCGCCCTTTTTCTCTCTCTCGCCCTTTTTCTCTCTATCACTACCTCCTCTTCGCCACCGATTTCGTGAGTTTCAATTCTCATCTCTCTCCTTTTTAATTAGGTTGTGGGGTTCTCAAATAGGTCGAATAATTGGTTTCCTTTCATATTAGTTGAGTCCATGAGATTTTTTTTTACTCTGCTCAGTAGATTTGTTTGTCGGTAGTTTAACAACTTCGATCCTTATATTTGTTTGAGATAGTTAAATGTACCCTTTCACTTAGATGGTAATTTTCTGAAGCATTTTATATTATTAGTTAATGTTGACATAATTAATGTATTTTTTTATATGTAAATTGGTGGATCAACCAAACCACAAAATTGCATTGTTTGATTTTGTTTTTACTTTTTTCTTTCAAAAGCTGAGGCTTACCTTGCTGGAGTTTGATGGGCATTCACACTGAATATTCCTTTTTTGGCCTATCTTGAAGAGTACCTACAAATGGTACTTTGGTGATGAGCTGTGATCAATATTATTTTGAATTGTAATGTCTGATGTGTTCTGGGTAGGGCAATTTTAATGAACCATTATAGATGATAGTTCGATATGTTATTGTTCACTCATTTTGGCCTGACTTTAATTGTATTACACTTAGTCAATTTTTTTATCCTGAATGAAAGTTCATCATGCGGCTTCTGCCAGCTCATGGGCAGGACATATTATTTTGCTAAATTGGTATGGGGGGGGGGGGCATATCTTTGGAACTTTATCTTTGTTGCCTGACAAATAATTCAGAATAAATATGCTTAATTTTTGGGTTTAAATCATTATGTGTGGGATAACAACTCAACACCAAAACGAATTTCACTGTGCATCTGCCTAGCTTAGAAAGTTATATCCTAATATCCTGACAAATCTGAGCTCTTGTTTGTTTTTTTGAAACTCGATGTGTTTGTGTTTGGTGCCTCAGGTTTAGGAACTTTGGGGGTGAAACGTTCCCTTCTTTTCGTGCGTTTCCTTGCCCTCTTCATATCTCTAACTCGCATAACTTTTCCATTAAAAAATGTCAAGGTTCTTATTGCTGTCGAATTTTTATATTAAAGTTTCTTACTGAAGTTTAGCATTTTAAAAGCTGTTCCTAGCCAGGAGTATAAAAGATATTTTGCAGGATACTGCTATGGTTTTCATATGGATTATTTCGACAGGCTTATCAGTATTCTTATCAAAAGTTTCGTAAACATTTTGAAATAGGGAAGACAATTACAGCTTAAATAGCAGTGTATGTCAAAACTTCCTATTCAATTGACAACTTAACCAAAGTAAACCCCACAGAAGCTCACAGTAGAACACAACCAGCAGGTCACCTACCCTTGTCAGCTTCAGGAAATAATCACCCACATTTCCTTCCCTAATTGTGTTATCACTTGTCCCGGCAGAATATTTTTACTTATATCTTTTCTATTATTCTCTGTCTTGCAGCAATAACAAACTACATTTATAGTACTATAAAACCTTTATTTTGGTGGATAATATTAAGAAATTCACTGTTTTTAAACATGAAGTCGTCTATGTTATGTTGATTTTCCAATTTATATGTTTTGATAGAGAAAAAACAAACACTCATTTTTTTTGAAGGTGAATAAAGCCACTATAGCTCAATGCCCAAAACTGTTTCCATATCATGAATGGTCACGGTGAACATATCCGAATTATTTTGTGAGGTATCAACGTAAATGAAAAGACTCCTTTTTATTATGGAATTTGAAATCTTATCCCTGCTATTCTTGTCTTTTCACTTCCTTCTATTTTTCCTAAAGGAGTCCGGCAGCTCTATATTTTTTGGATATAATCATTTTTGACACTTCTTCTTTTTAGTAGTACTTATTCTCGTCATGCAGAGTAGGAACTTTGTGCTATCTAAGCCTATTTGTCAATCTAATATTTTTTTTTCCTGTAAAAAACAAATGTATGTTAGGAGAGGCTCTTGTGATTTTAGGACAGCGAGAACTGATTTTTGTTGAAAGAGCGAGAGGGTTGGTGGTAACTCAGGAGTTTAGATAATTCCGTTGTTAAAATCTTTTAAAATCTATAATATTCCTATTAGCTTGTAGGGGGTATAGAGAAAGAAAAAAGTACTAGAATGTTTTCCTTTCTGCTTCAACCGACTTGTTTAATTCCTTTCATTTTCCTTGTTTGCAACTTTGCATAGGTCAGTAGTAGTTAGATCAAAATGTCTCGAAGATATGATAGCCGAACAACAATCTTCTCTCCTGAAGGACGTCTTTACCAAGTGGAATATGCAATGGAAGCTATTGGTAATGCCGGTACTGCAATAGGGATCTTATCGAAAGATGGAGTTGTGCTGGTTGGTGAAAAAAAGGTCACATCCAAGCTGCTCCAAACCTCAACCTCCACTGAGAAAATGTACAAGATTGATGATCATGTTGCATGTGCCGTGGCTGGGATAATGTCTGATGCCAACATTCTGATCAATACTGCAAGGGTCCAAGCACAACGCTACACTTATGCTTATCAAGAGCCAATGCCAGTTGAGCAGCTAGTTCAATCTCTCTGTGATACCAAGCAAGGTTACACCCAATTTGGTGGTCTTAGGCCATTCGGGGTCTCATTTCTGTTTGCTGGATGGGACAAAAACTTTGGCTTTCAGCTTTACATGAGTGACCCTAGTGGAAATTATGGTGGCTGGAAAGCTGGAGCCATTGGGGCAAATAACCAGGCAGCACAATCAATACTGAAACAGGACTACAAGGATGATATCACAAGAGAAGAAGCAGTTCAACTTGCACTGAAGGTTTTAAGTAAAACCATGGACAGCACAAGTCTGACTTCAGAAAAGCTTGAACTTGCTGAGGTTTTTCTGTCACCCTCTGGTAAAGTGAAGTATGAAGTTTGCTCCCCAGAGTCCCTCACTAAGCTGTTGGTGAAGTTTGGTGTAACCCAACCTGCAACAGACACTGCGTAGTTCAATTTTGCCTATCTAGTTCATTTATGGTGCTTTTGGCATTATATGGCAGCTATTGGGTCAAACACATTTCAAGCTTAAACATTTTGGATCTTCCTACATCTGAGATTTTCAAGACAGATATATGGCCTTTGAGTTCCATTTGGTTAACCACTGTGTTTCCATGATTTGGTACTTGTTATTTGAATCAAAGTTTATAGGAGAACAACTCAATCAGCTCGTAAGTACTTTTACGAAATTTGTGTTTAGTTTATATTAATTTAAAAAATATTTCTGATGAAGTTGACAAATTGTGATTATTTTTCTAAAATAAATAAGCCAAATACCTATCGAGATTAGAGCTATTCATTTGAGAAAAGTGTTTACTTTATTATTTGTTTGCAATAATTAGTGAGTAGAGAGTAAATTATTTCGAGAATAAGTATTACATGAAACTATTTTCATCTAAGAAACTATTACATGAAATAACATTATTAAAGTAAAAGAGTAAATTATAATTTTACTACACTTTAATTTTTACTTCGCGGATTTTCTTTTTCATCTTTTTACGAATTTATTCCTATTTTAAAAATATGTAGTGTTTCGGTAAGGATTTTGTGGGATCGAAACACTAACTTTTCTGACGTGACTTCGACGTTTGAGTTGTGTGCTTCGTTTGTATGCTTTCAGTCTGGGCCACACGTACCTGGCTGTTGGCCCTGACATTATATTTATAAGTCACCTCATGGATCCTAAACTGATACATGCCTAATAAAATAAAAACAGACTTATCTTTAGATTCGGCATTATATTTGGTCGGTTGCTCATAAACAACTTATCAATATCTTTAATCATATATATTTGATTATTTTATCCTCTGCTGGACTATTACCCCAATATAACTTAAGTGCTGGCCCAATTATGGCCCAACACCATTTAACGCGGTTGACCTTAGTTGATACAGTGGATGATGGCCTGGTTGACCATTATTGTGGTAGTGACTGAACGGTTAACAATTAGTAACTGTTCGGTATACATTATACCCGATATATGCCTCCAAATTCGAGTTAATCGTTCGACTTTTAGCCATGATTAATTGTAGGACTTATGAGCTTGAGAGAGACCAGACGGTTTGTATGTAGGATGTTGTCACCTGTACTAAAGAGGAAAAACAATTGGAATCCACATGTGATTAGGAAAATGTAGTCAATCAAATTAACATTAAATAATTTGGGTTATGAAGCCGAATGGCCGAATGTTTGAACGCTTGAGGCAATGGAAGGCCGAGCAGTCGAGGCTGAATGGCCAAATACTTGAGTTCGAATGGCCGAATACTTGTGAGGCCGAATGGCTGAATGCTTGTGAGGCCGAATGACCGAATACCTGAGAAGCCGAATGATTGAATACATGTGAGTGAGCCTTTTACCGTTCAGATGATAGTCCATAAGGGACTGGCCTCCCCTGCTTGGTTTATAGTCCATGGGGGACTGTCTACACCACTCGGTTTTTAGTCCATGGGGGACTGTCTTTACTGGTCTGTTTATAGCTATGGGAGACTGTCTTTACTGTTTGGTTTATAGTCCATGAGGGTCTGTCTTTACTGTTCAGTTTATAGTCCATGGGGGACTATCTTTACCGCTCGATTTATAGTTCATGGGTGACTGTCTCTACCGCTCGGTTCATAGTCCATGGGGGATTGTCTTTACCACTCGTTTTATAGTCCATGGGGAACTTTCTTTACCACTCATTTTATAGTCCATGGGGGACTATCTTTATTGTTTGGTTTATAGTCCATGGAGGACTGTCTTTACCGTTCGGTTTATAGTCCATGAGGGACTGTCTTTATCGTTCGGTTTATAGTCCATGAGGGACTGTCTTTACTGCTCGGTTTATAGTCCATGGGAGACTGTCTCTACCGCTCGGTTTATAGTCCATGGGGGACTGTCTTTGCCACTCGTTTTATAGTCCATGGGGGACTATCTTTACCACTCGTTTTATAGTCCATGGGGGACTGTCTTTACCATTCGATTTATAGTCCATGGCGGACTGTCTTTACCGTTCGGTTTTGAACCTAGGAGTTCGATTTGAAACGTTCCTTGAGTTTTGTGGACGGTCCTATAAGGTCGATTGGCCGACTACATGTGATAAAACGTGATCATGATGTCATAAGCATTTATTCCAACAAAAGAATTTAAACAATAAAATTCTATGTATGAGGAAATTGAAATAAACATGATAGTAATGTTCAACTAAAGTAAACTTGAGATTTGTTGCATTCCACATGTTAGGAAAGACTTTTTTTATCATATCTTCTAGTTGATATGCCGAAGAACTCTGCGGTCAAGGTTGTGACTGTGGTTGTGACTGCTGCTGCAACTATGCCTATGCCTATTCCTTCGTTCGACTTTTTGATAGAACCGTTCAGTTTCCCTGCGCTGAGATTTTTCTCTGGGAGGACTTCTTATTCGGGTTCCTTTTTCTTCTACAAATTTCTGCAGGGCAACCTCGGATGAGCCTTTCTATTTCATCTTTCAACACATTGCATTCCTCTGTAGTATGTCCTCGGTTTAGATGAAACCGATAGCTTTTCCTTTCGCCAGCGTCCTTTGGAGAAGACTTCTTTCGGATAAGAAGTTCGGTATTAAGAGTTTCCTCAAGAACTTTTACCCTAGGTGTGTTGATGGGGTGCAATGATTATACCTGGGTGTTCGGATGAAATCCTTATGAAACGTACCTCCATTCTTGTCGTTATTGTTGAATGACTGCCTGCCTTCTTTCTTGCTTCCTCCTGTAGAGACTTCTTGTTGTTTCTTTCTCGAGTTTCTCATGACCTCAATACGAATAAATTTAGCGATCCTTTCCTGAAGTTCGTCCATAGTTTTTGGTGGTCGGGCATACAGCCTTTTAGCAAAATATCCCGGTCTTAAACATGAAGGCAAATTGTTGATGATAAAAGTGTGATTAACATCTTTAACTTGTTGTGCGGTTTCTTTGTACCTTTTCATGAAGGCCTTCAAGGTTTCATCCTTCTTCTGTTTAGTATTTACCAATTCCGCCGGTGTTATCTCTTGTTTCTGATTAGAGGCGTATTGCCTTCTAAAGAGGGTTTCCACGGTGGTGAAGCAGTCCACTGTGTTTGGAGGAAGAGTGTTGTACCACTCTAACACCTCGTCCTTAAGTGATAAGGAGAAGGCTCTGCATATGACTGGATCACTGTCCGTGTAGAACTCCATTGCATTGGTGAAGATTCTAAGATGATTGTCGGGATCTGTCGAGCCATCATACTTCAATAATACAGGAGGATTCTTCTCTGGCATTGGAGTTTGCATGATGGTCGCCATAAAAGGGAGTAAACTAGAGGGCCAAACGGTTTGCAAGGGCGATGGTTCTCTCCTTCCTCTACCGTTCGAGTTGGTGTGCTAAGATGGCTGTCGATTATGACTTCCATCATTTTCATTATGATGGTTGTTACCCCGTTCGACTGTGGACACCGAGTGCTGAGCTGATCGTTCGGCGCGACCTCGCTCTGCTCTTAGTGCCGCAATCTCCTCTGTGTGCTTCCACTGCAACTATTGTTATGCTTGCACCTGTGTATGTATGGTTCATGCCTATGCCTGTATTTGTGCTTGCATCCGTGCAATCAAATTTCTAGTGTGTTGTTGTTCCTCCATGCTCCTCATGGTCACCATTGGGTTTCTTCAACTTCTCTCGGCTCCACGGTGGGCGCCAAAATGTTTCGGTAAGGATTTTGTGGGACCCAAACACTAACCTTTCTGATGTGACTTCGACGCTTGAGTTGTGTGCTCCGCTTGTCTACTTCCAGTTTGGGCCACTCGGTTGCCTTCAGTATTAGCCGTTCGGTGGACTTCAATCTTAACCAAGGAGGGGAGGTACCTGCAAAGGCACTTCGACGCTCAAGTTATGTGTCTGTTGAAGGAGCTTTTGCTCACAAATGAATGTTTTGTATTTATTGTAATTGAGTACTATGAACTCAGTTGAACACCCTGACCTTATATTTATAAGTCACCTCATGGATCCTAAAATTATACAGGCCCAATAAAATAAAAATAAACTTACCTTCAGATTCGACATTAGATTTGTTCGGTTGCTCATAAACAACTTATCAATATCTTTAATCAGATATCTTTGGTTATTTTATCCTCTGTTGGACTACTGGCCCAATAATACCTTAAGTGCTGACCCAATTATCACCCAACACCATTTAACGCGGTTGACCTTAGTTGTTACAGTGGATGATGGTCTGGTTGACCATTATTGTGGTAGTGACTGAACGGTTAACAATTAGTAACCATTCAATATACACTATACCCGATACATGTAGTTTCAATCAAATGTAAGCTTTGATTGAATAATTTAGTTTTGAACAAAATGAGTCAAATAATTTCTTGATCATATTTTAAATATTGCTCAAGTTTAGGGTAGAATTAAACCTAAAAAAAAAATATAAAATTAAAGATATATTAAACCTACATGTCGAAAACATTACACTAAACCACAAAAAAATAAAATTCTGTCAACGCAAAATCAAAAATAATTTTTTACATTCACTTATTTCTTAAGGGACAAAGAAGGCAAATATATTGTCAAGAAAAGTACAAATATGTAGTTATTTACTTTGTTTAAACTTCAAACGGCTTAATACCCTATTTTGTCCCTAGTTCCGCTCGAAAATGTCAAATTAGTTCATCCTTTAAAAAGTGCATAAATTACGTCCTTACTTAATAAAATGTGTATCAATGAAATCCCTTCCGTTAAATCTCTACAAACGACTTTAACTATTTCTCTCTCTTATGCTTTTTTTTACTTTTTCTGCGCAACGCAAGTTTTAGCAGGTTTTCTCTCTCTTTTACTATTCTTCTTCTCTCTCTTCTACCAATTATACTCGTTTCTTTTTTCCTCAAATTGTGATAGTGACCCTTGAATTTCCAATACACAGCAAGTAGAAGCAGTATAAATAGAAACC